ATATATATATATATGCATGTAAAGCAGTGATATTATTAAAAACAAAAAAAGAAGCGTTTTAAATAGTAATGACTTCATTTTATTACTCATCAAAACAAAATATTGCGGTAAAATCATACGTATATATATATATTTCGGTGGTTTGTAGCAAACGAATTAATTTTCTTTCAGTTGATATCAAATTTTTATTTATTGAGTATACTTAATCGTATATGTTGTACTTTATAACAATAAAATTCCATTAACAAAACTGAAATGCGAAAAACAAAATTAGATCCACCTTCTCTATAACCCTTTCCTATCAAGTAATAATTTCAGGATCTTCCATTGAGTGATGCTGACTGAAAATTAGTTTAGGAGATCAGTTATTAAGACTCGATATTCAGTTTCTTCCTCGTTGATTTAATTTTTTGTCAAAAAGTGTTTTCAACACTTTCACAACATCCTTTACATTTATTTTCTACTCTAAATTTACCTGGAATATTTACTTTTCTTCTTCCTTCTAAATATCTTGGCATTAAATCACGCTAGCAATTATCCCATAACATATTATTTAATCCTATCGCATATTTCGACTTTCGTAGTTTTCTCATGTCTTTCCCTCTTACATATCCTCATCTCTTTTTAACCATTTTTCGTACATTCCAACCATTTCTCTCCCATTCATTTAACTGCTCCTAATTAATTTTTAAATTGTTACTGCAGAAACGGGAGTTAGGAGGGGTAGAGGTAAACCTAGATTAGATTACTGTTCGCAAATAGTTAAGTATGTGGGTTGTTCTAGTTTTAGGGAAATGCGAAGATTAGCTTAGGATAGGAAATAGTGGAGGTGCATGTCCAACCAGTGATAGGACTGACGACCTTATGTTGATCACTGTTGCCAACCTATTACAGGAAAAAATTCCTCGCGCAGGTCTAAAAAATTCCATATTTTCTCTAAAAATCCCTCCATGCGCAGGTCCAAAAAGTCCCATATTTTCTCTAAAAATTCCTCTAACTTATTACTATTATTATCTCTTAATTCGTTAATTTAATCGTTTATTCGAAGAAAAAAATATACAATATTTCTGTAAACATGGACAACTTTTCGTGTCGATAGCATAATACCGATAATTTTATTGTATGTA